CAAGTGCTTGGGCCCATGCAGCTATGTGTGAGACCCAGAAGTAGTTCCGGGCTTTGGATCGGTCGAGCTCCAGCCATTGTAGCCATTTGGGAAGTGAACTAGCAGATGAAAGACTATCTTTCTCACTCTCTTCTTGCCTCTGCCTCTCTGTAACTCTGCCTTTCAATAAATAAAGCCTTAAAAAAAATTACAGTGAAAGAAATCAAAGATCTAAGTAACTTGGAAGGCATCATGTTTATGGGTTAGAAGACTATATAGCAATGATGTTAATTCTTCCCCAAATTTATATTCAAGTTTAGAGGAATTCATTTCAAAATCTCGAGCTTTTTGTACATGATCATATATATATATATGATTGTCATATATATGACTATTCTAAAATTTAATCTCTCTCTCTGCCTCTCAAAAATATTTTTAAAAGGGAATGGGTGTTTCGTGTTGGTGCCTGCATCACAGTGCCTGGCTTCAGTTCCCAGCTGCAGCTTCTAGATGATGCAGACCATGGGAGGCAGCAGTGATTGCTCAAGTAATTGGGTTCCTGCCACCCGTGTTGGAGATCTGAATTGAGTTCCTGGCTCTAGCCCAGCCATAGCCATTGCAGGCATTTGGGAAGTGAACTAGCCAACCCATCCCTCAAATAAATTTGGAAAATAATATGGAAATTTAGAAATAATATAGAAAAGCAAAAGGATAAACAATTTTGAAATAGAACAAAATGAGAAGAATTGGTCTACCTGGTTTCAAAACGTACTATTTAGCTACTGTAGTCAAGATCACATGATATTGGCAGACAGATCATTGGAACAGAATAGAGGACTCTGGAATAGATTGAAATAGGCCCAGCTAATTTTTGACAGTAATGCAAAAGTAATTCGGGAGGAAAAACCTTTTAACAAATGATGCTGGAGCAATTAGATATCTAGAAGCAAGGAAATAGTTCTGAATCTAAGTCTCACACCTAATATAAAAATTCAAACAGATCACAGACTTAGATGTAAAACATAAAACTTTCAGGAAAAAAGTGACAAAGTCTTTGGGATTTAGAGCTGGGCAAGGAGTGTGTGTGTGTGTGTGTGTGTGTGTAAAGATTATTTGAGTGACAGATGAGATCTTTATCTGCTGTATTACTCCCTAAAGGCCCACAATAGCCAAGGCTGAGCCAGACCAAAGCCAGGAGCCAGGAACTCTATCCTGGTCTCCCATATGGGTGGCAGGGACCCAAGTACGTGGACCATCATCTGCTGCCTTCCCAGGTGCATTACCAAGGAGCTAGATTGGAAGTAGAGCAACTGGGAGTCGAACTGGCACTACAATAAGGGGTACCAACTGCACCAGTGATGTCTTAACCCGCTGCACAAGGTCCACCCCCAGTTCCTAGATTTGACATTAAGGTACACTCCATAAAAGGGAGAATTGATAAATTGGACTCCATCAAAATTAAAAACATTTACTCTGTGAAATATCATGTTAAGATGATTAAAGATAAGCTACAAATTGGGAGGAAGTTTCTGAAACTTACCTGAAAAATAGCTAGTATCTGGAATTTAAAACTTCTAAAACTTACCATTAAAAGAAAAAAATACAACTAGAAAATGAGGAAAAAACATGACCTGACAGTTGATTGTAGAGGATATGCACATGACATATAAGCATATGAAAAGATGTTTAACATTATTAGCCATTAAGGATATGTAATCACTACACACATCTATTAGGATGGCTGAAGTAAAAATTACTGACAGCACCAAATGCAGAATGCAGGAGAACTGGCCCACTCATTCATCACTGGTGGTGATGTAGAATGGGTCGGTAATTTGATAGCACAGGTTTGCTATTTCTTTAAAAAAGTAAACATGCAAACTCTGGACCCCAACAGTTACATCCTAGGCATTTATCCAGAAAAATGCAGATTTAAATTCATATAAAACTTGTGCACATGTGTTTACAGCAGCTTTATTCCTAGTAGCCAAAATCTAGAAATAGCCCAGATAGCCTTTTTTTTTTTTCTTTTAAGACTTATTTATTTATTTGAAAGGCAGAGTTACAGAGAGGCAGAGAGAGAGAGAAAGAGGTCTTCCATCTGCTGGTTTACTCCCCAGATGCCCGCAACTTCTAGAGCTGCACTAATCCAAAGCCAGGAATCAGGAGTTTCTTTCTAGGTCTCCCTTGGGCGTGCAGGGGCCCAAGCACCTGGGCCGCCTTCTGCTTTCCCAGGCCATAGCAGAGAGCTGGATTGGAAGAGGAACATCCGGGACTCGAACTGGCATCTACATGGGATGCCGGCATTGCAGGCGGCAGCTTTACCCACTACGCCACAGCACTAGCCCCCAGATATCCTTTAATGGATGAACAACAAAATAAACTGTAGCACATCCATACCATGGAATACTACTTAGCAAGAAAACAATACACACAAAGAACCTGCATGAATCTCCAGAAAATTGTGCTGAATAAAAAAAGTCCTCAAAGGATACATACTGTATGCTTCTGGTTATATACACATTTTTTTTTTAAGTGATGAAATTACAGAGACAGAAAACCAGTTGGTGGTTGCAGGAGGTTAAGGAAGAGTTGAAATGAGAGGGACATGGGCTGTATGCAGACAACACAAAATGACACATGTAGCCGGCGCTGCGGCTCAATAGGCTAATCCTCCACCTGCGGCGCCGGCACACCAGGTTCTAGTCCCAGTCGGGGCACCAGATTCTGTCCCGGTTGCCCCTCTTCCAGGCCAGCTCTCTACTGTGGCCAGGGAGGGCAGATGGAGGATGGCCCAAGTGCTTGGGCCCTGCACCTGCATGGGAGACCAGGAGAAGCACCTGGCTCCTGGCTTCGGATCAGCGCGATGCGCCAGCTGCGGCGGCCATTGGAGGGTGAACCAACAGCAAAAGGAAGACCTTTCTCTCTCTCTCTCTCTCTCTCTCTTTCTCTCGCTCGCTCGCTCGCTCGCTGTCCACTCTGCCTGTAAAAAAAAGAAAAAAAGACACATGTGGTGGAAATATGTATCATGGCTGTGTCAATGTCACCATCCTGTTTGTACTGTAGATTTTTACAAGTTATTTCCATGACTGAAATTGAGTAAATAGTACATGAAATCTGTTTCTTCTTTAAACTGCATATGAATTTACAGTTATCTTATAAATTAAAAGTTAATTAAAAAAGAATAGTAATGGCTAACTACATCCCACAATAGTGAAGACCGAAAAACTGAAGAATGGTATACTCATATTTAAACTATGGTAGTCACTTTTTTTAAAAAGATTTATTATTTATTTGAAAGGCAGATATACAGAGGTCTTCCATCTGTGGTTCACTCCTCACATGGCCACAATGGCTGGAGCTGGGCTGGTCCAACACCAGCAGCTTCTTTTGGGTCTCCCATGTGGGTGCAAGGGCCCAAGGACTTAGGCCATCTTCACAACCTTCCCAGAGGCATTAACAGGGAACTGGATCAGAAGTGAAGCAGCTGGGCCTTGAATTGGTGCCCATATGGGATGCCAGCACTGGCAGGTGGAGGCTTGACCTTCTGTGCCAAAGTGCTGGCCCCAGTAGACACCTTTCAACCACTCTTCCCTTGCACCCTACCACCAAACCTCAGCCAAGTACATACTGTTTTTCATATTATGAATTTTTGTATTCATAAATTCATTTATGAATTTTTATGAATATTTATTTGAAAATGTTAGTGACAGACATGAACAGATCAGTCTTCTACTTCCTAGTTCATTCCCCAAACTCCTACAACAGCCAGACTGGAGCCAAGCTGACACCAGGAGCCTGGAACTCAATTTAGGTCTCTTGACTTGATTGTCAAGGACCCAACTACTTTAGCCATCATCTGTTGCCCACTAGGATGCCCATTAGCAGGAAGCTGATTGGAAGCAGAGGAAAACCAGGACTCAACCCAAGCACGCTGTTAGGGCATGCAGGCGTCCCAAGCAGAGTCTTAATCACTATGCCAAACATCCACCTTGATCTTTTTAACTTCATGAGGACCCTGTTCTTAATACCTTTGTTTTGGGCTAGAGCATGCCAGCAGCTACCACTGGGTTAATGGGGCCTGTATAGATGGAGAAGAAAAAAAACAAAAGGGTATCATGGATGTCCTGCTGATTTATTCAGTAATGAAACAGATTACGATGAGAGGAGGGGCGTGAAGTTAGAGGGAAACTGATGTTTCAGAAGAGAGCAGGTTAATATGATTTTGCTTTGGGTTTTTTGTTTGCTTTATTGAGTTCCTACTCTACCTGGTGCTTTATCTTGATGTACTATTTTATTGTGTCCTTAAATGTAGCCATTAATAAGTGTATAGCACTTTGTAGTTGACAGTATTAGTTTTTTTTTTTTTTTTTTAATGTAAGATTTTATTTATTTGAGAGGTAAAGTTAGAGAGGGAGAAACAGAGAAAGAGGTCTTCTGTTCGCTGGTTCACTCCCCAAATGGCTGCAACGACTGGAGCAGGGCTAATCTGGGGCCAGGAGTTTCCTCCAAGTCTCCCAGGTAGGTGGAGGATCCCAGGCATTTGGCCTATCTTCTGCTTTCCTGGGCCATTAGCAGAGAGCTGGATTGGAAGAGGAGCATCCGGGACACAAACTGGCACCCATATGGGATTCCAGCACCAGGGGCAGAGGCTTAGCTTACTGTGCCACAGCACCAGCCCCAACAGTATTAGTTTTTTACATATTATTTCAGTGATCTTCACAACCCTCCAGAGATGAGGAAATGAAAACTCTAGGTCTCACAGCTTCTAAGTGGCAGAGCCAGTCCCCAAATTTATTGTCTACTCCAAATTCTGTGTTCCTTCACCAAATCCACATTGCTTCTGGGAGCGTGTAGTTCCCCCTCAGTTGTAAGTGGTGGAAAGTGGGACTCCAGCATCAGCCTCCTTCCCTGAAGAGCTCAGCCAATGAGAGAAGCAGTGTGAGACTATGAGGTAGATGAGACTGGACTGTAAGGGTCCATGCTCCCTTGCTGAATTTTTATATTTTCTCTCATTTCAGGATGGCAATGGCACGGAGAACTATGTTCCAAAAGGGGGAGGTGCATAACAGACCTTCAGGATTCTGGGGAATGATAAAAAGCGTTACTGCTTCAGCACCAGGAAGTGAAAGTATCCTTTATCACTCTGCTGATTTCCTTTTCTCAACTCTGGACCAAGGGCAGAAGAAAAAAATAGTGTTGGGATAGCCCCTTCAAAGGTACCTGACTGCATCAGAGTCCAAACTGGCCAAACAAGGCTTAGGAAATAGAGTGTGCAGAATCATCTTTCCAACACCCATTTAAGATTATAAAATCATTGTCTTTGAATTAAAGAGCTTCTAAAAATTCAGTCTTTCCACTTTACAGATGAGAAAATAGTCCCAGAGAGGTTAAGTCACAAAGTGGGTTTGTGGCAAAACCAGGACAGAACTATGGTCTCCTCTTCATAGTTCTTTCCACTACACTATTCCATTTCCCAACTCTTGAAAAACCACCACAAAAATAATGACTGCCTAAGTGGATGGTTTGTATATGGGATGGTAAGGGCCCATTTCTAAAGTGATTAGCATTCCTAAACAAATTTTAAGTAGCTGTGCTTGGCTAGTAACTTTGTGGTTTAAAAAAAAAAAATCAAGGTACTAGGTTAATATTATTCCTGGCCCAGCTGGATATGGTGTTGAACTGATTCCCAAAATGGGTAACCAGATCTCTGTGTGACTCTTAGGCTATTAGGTCAGAACTATAGAGGACTAGGCATTAGATAACATAGTCCTGTTTCCTACTTTGGCCTGTGCTTCCATTGGAGAAAGCTGTAGTCTGTGACTGTGAATTATGACTTACATCCTTCAAATGTCAAATGCAGAAGAGTACGACCAAAGAAAGGCAGGATGCTAATGACAGAGGAAGAAAAATGATTAATTTAGATTCTTTTAATCAAGGACCATTTATTTCATGTCTAGTGTTTGGATGCAAAGTACTGAGGGGCAAAATGATGAATAGAGTGTAGCCTTCCCCCTCAGGGAGCTTACCATCTAATCATGGGAGAGTTGATACTAGTTAAGTTGTGTGTTTGATGGCCTGGACCATGCCAATAGCAGCCACTATTGAGGAAGGAACTGAAGGCCACTTACTGATTTAGGTAATTATGGGAAAAGTCAGAGGGAGAAGGGAGAATTTGGATTAAACTTAATGCTTTAAAAAAATTTATTCATTTATTTGAAAGAGTTACACAGAGAGAGAGAGAGAGGTCTTCCATCCGCTGGTTCACTCCCCAGTTGGCTGCAATGGCTGGAGCTGCGCCAATTCGAAGCCAGAAGCCAAGAGCTTCTTCCAGGTCTCCCATGCAGGTGCAAGGGCCCAAGGACTTGGGCCATCTTCTGTTGCTTTCCCAGACCACAGCAGAGAGCTGGATCAGAAGTGGAGCAGCCAGGACTTGAACCAGCGCCCATATAGGATGCCGGCACTGCAGGCAGTGGCTTTACCCGCTGTGCCACAGTGCCGGCCCCAATGCTTTTTGTCGCTCCCCGTCTTCGTGGAGGAGCAACACTGAACCCTGCCTAGGCTTCATATCCGAGTCACGGCACCATTATGTCGCTCCCCCTCTTCGTGGAGGAACGACACAGGACCCTGCGCTGTTCTTTTGTCTGCTCGGCCCTCCCCGGGTTTGCTGCTGGTTCTTCCCGGGTTGGCTACCGACCCTTCCACCTCCGTGGAAGGGTGGTTCCCCCTGCCACATCCCCCACTTCCGCGGGGGAGCGGCACACCGCCGGCCGGCTCTCTCGGGGGCTGCACAGGTGTTCCCCTTAGATGTTCCTCTTAGATGTTCCTGGTGCATGCCGTCTCTCTCCTCCTTTATAGTCCTCTTCCACCAATCCCAACTCTGCTACCCACACGCCGAGTACGCTGCTCTCCTCCAATCAGGAGCAGGTCCCACAGTTTATTGGTTGAACTGGAGGCAGCTGTGTAGAAGCTGTTTCCCTTCTCAGCGCCATATTGTGGGAAAGCAGATGCATAGAATAAGTCTTAATTCCAGTAACTTAGTCTAGTCCGAGTTGCTCTCAGTTGCTCCCCACACTTTTGTTTTAGAAATAACTATCCTTTTATTACTTACAAATCCATGAAGTCCAAAAGTGTAGGTTTAAGCTATTTTAGTGATAGTAAATCAGTAAGTTTATTAGGAGTTTTTTAAACCTCTCTGAGTCTCTGTTTCCAAAGTGGGCAGAATAGTAACCCTGCCCACTGAGTCTGGGAAAATAGCATAGCTTACTGGAAAGAACAGGCCTTGGAGTAGGCAGATGTAACTTTCCATCCATACCTATTAGCTGTGGGACTTTGAGCAAATTATTTAACTCTCTTAGCTTCACTTTCCTTATCTGCGAAATGGATAACACGTGTTCCATGAGGGCACTCTATGAATAAAGGAAGATGATGTCTGTAAATCCTAGCTCATGTGAGAACTCAGTAAATGTCAGTTCCCTTTCCAAACAGATAATGTAGGAAAATATGCCCTATTATAGGTGTTATGATTATCATGAAACCATTTGAGATCTTGAAGATTACAGTAGATTCAATTTAATTAGATGCCTAAAAAGAATCTAAGACACTTGAACTTGGAGAAACTGAGTGGTAGATTTGGTGGTGATACTCTTGGTGCAACAAAGCTTTTCACGCTTGTTTTGGATTGGGAAAAATGCTCTGAAGTAGCACAGCTATTTGTGAAACAGGAAATTGAAAATACACGTAATTCCTAGGATCCACTAAGGGAAACCAAAAGCATATATGCTTTCTTCATTGCTATATTTTGAAATTTCTGTGTGATTTAAACCTTGATGCCCATTTTGTACCAGATCTTACTCTTATTCAACAGGAAGTGGATGCTTTGGAAGAATTAAGCAGGCAGCTTTTTCTGGAAACAGCTGACCTCTATGCTACCAAGGTACAAAGCAAGAAACTGAACTAAGTATGGTTTTTGCCAATATGATTGAAGGGAGAACAAAATTAAATGTCTTTAGTGACCACAGTAGCCAGTCAATGCAGGAAACATCTCACAGATTCAGTATCAGTCATGAAGCATTTAGAATGACGGGTGTGCACTCTTCATGAAATGCATCTCTCACTGGCAGAAGCCTTAATGGTGTACACGCAATAATAGAAATGGATAGGATAGTCAACATCTAGGGAAGGGCATGCACCACTTCTGCTGACCCTTGATAAAGATTCCTTGTAGTTCCCTTTTATTCCCTTACAAGTTAATAACACAAGAGCACTAGATATCTGTCTGCCGTGGTCTAGCCTTATTTTAATGGTTCTAGATCAAGAAGTATCCTGACTACAAGAAGTAACTGACCTTTGTACACCCAGAATGCAATGTAATTTAAAAATGCAAAAATCTGGGCTGGCGCTGCGGCTCACTTGGCTAATCCTCCACCTGTGGCACTGGCACCCCAGGTTCTAGTTCTGGTTGGGACGCCGGATTCTGTCCCAGTTGCTCCTCTTCCAGTCCAGCTCTCTGCTGTGGCCCGGGAAGGCAGTGGAGGATGGCCCAAGTGCTTGGGCCCTGCACCTGCATGGGAGACCAGGAGGAAGCACCTGGCTCCTGGCTTCAGATTGGTCGGCCAGCGCTGTGACGGCCATTTAGGGGGTGAACCAATGGCAAAAGGAAGACCTTTCTCTCTGTCTCTCTCACTGTCTAACTCTGACTGTCAAAAAAAGAAAAATATTTTATTGAAGATAACTTCCTAGGCATGGCCCCATAAAACAGAGGTTAACATAGTCTTTGGAGACAAATTTGAGACTACTCACCAGCTGTGTGACCATAAGTTATTTAGCCTCTCTAAGGTTCAATTTTCTCATCTGTAAAATTAAAATAATAAGACATATGAAAAAAAAAAGATATATGAGTGTTGATGAAGATTAAAGTAGGTGATGTATATAAAATGTTTATCCCAGTCTGTGGCTCAAAGTAAGCTTTCAGTATGTTGCCACTACTAGTACTAATAGCTTCATATTATTACTACAGCGGGAAGTTTTGTTGACTCAGCCTGAGCCAGTGGTGTATAGAGGGAGGAATATTTTTGCTGAAATGAATCTATGCTTGACTAACCATGTTTTGTGTTTGTTTTCCCTCAGGAGAGAATTGAGTATTCCAAAACCTTCAAGGGGAAATACTTTAATTTTCTGGGTTACTTTTTCTCCATTTACTGTGTTTGGAAAATCTTCATGGTAGGTATATTATTTTTAACTGTCAGGGTGTAGGTGATTTTTTGCAGTAAGAGTAGAGAGAAGAGTGATTTTGATTGATGCATTGAACTAAATTCCAAATTCAATTGTGTCAGCAGAGAACATGATCTCTCACATCTCAGAGCTGCACTCTTTTTACCCCCCTCTCCTTTTCACATGACCTAGAAGGGGGAGGTTCATTTTTCTTTCAAAAATCATTAAGAAATATTACTCTTTGTGGCTCTCCCTTAATGTACTATTCTTTATGTGAATTTCAAGTACCTCATTTATCTTTACTTCTGACTCATCTGCAGATATTAATGGATTCAGTGTGGTTATAGAAAAGGCTGATTTGACTTTCTGGTTTGATGACTTTCCTACTGGGGCTGTGTTTACACAAAGAGGAGCTTTGTCAGCTTGTTAATTTTGATCGGTGTAAATGAATGTGGGATTTTGAATTTAATGGATCTAATACTATAATAAATTGATGTCAGTACCACTCAGATGACATTTTTAAATCTTCATTCACTCAGTGGGAGAGGATGAATGAAAAACACTGTGTTCATTCACTAAGCTACTAAAAGGTTTCTTCCTGAGATGCAACCCTTAGGGGAGCAAATAGTTTATTAATAACTTTATTAAAAGTATAATTGATATACAGGGAGGGTACAATTTGGTAACTTTGGACATATTTGCAGCAAGTAATACCATATCAAGTTAAAGAACATACCCCAAAAGTTTCCTCATACCCCTTAGCACTAATCAAGTTTCTGTCATTATATATTAGATTGCATTTTTTAGAATTTTGTGTAAATGAAACCCTATGTGTATCCTTTTCTATCTGGCTTAAATTACTCAGCATGATTATTTTTAATTTTCTATTGTGTGTATTAGTGATTTATCCTGCTTTATTGCTGAGTAGTATGTCATACTATGGATGTATGCCAATGGTTATCTATCCACCTGCTGGTGGGTGTCTGTTTATTTCCAGTATGGGGACATTATAAATAAAGCTCCTGTGAATGTTTCTGTCTAGGTCTGTATTTGGACATATGTTCTCTTCTCTTTAGTAAACACTTAAGGGCAAAATGTCTGGTTCATACGGCAGATGTATGTTTAACCTTTAAAGAAACAGCTAGACTCTACCAAAGAGATTGTGCTATGGTCCTTCGTGCAATATATCTGAGTTTCGGTTTCTCCACATGCTTGCCAGTACTCCCTGTGGTTAGGCTTTTTAATTCTAGAAGTTCTGATAAATATGAGGTGGTATTATGTGGTGTTTTTTTTTAATTTATTTTTTTTTTTTTTTTTGACAGGCAGAGTGGACAGTGAGAGAGAGAGACAGAGAGAAAGGTCTTCCTTTGCCGTTGGTTCACCCTCCAATGGCCGCCACTGCCAGCGCGCTGTGACCAGCGTACCGCGCTGATCCGATGGCAGGAGCCAGGTACTTATCCTGGTCTCCCATGGGGTGCAGGACCCAAGCACCTGGGCCATCCTCCACTGCACTCCCTGGCCACAGCAGAGAGCTGGCCTGGAAGAGGGGCAACCGGGACAGAATCCGGTGCCCCGACCGGGACTGGAACCCAGTGTGCCGGCGCCACAAGGCGGAGGATTAGCCTAGTGAGCCGCGGCGCCGGCCATGTGGTGGTTTTAATTTACATTTCTCTCATGGCAAATAATGTTGAGCATCTTTTCATGTGCTTATTTGCCAGCTGTTTATTCTCTTTGGTGAATTATCTATTCAACTCTTTTACCAAATTTGTAATAAGGCTATTTTCTTTTTATTGAATTGGAGTGGGATGTATACTCTAGAAATCCTTTATCAAATAAGTGATTTTCAAATGTTTTTATTCTCTTGGTAGTACTTTTTTTCCTTTATTTTGGATTGTGCTTTTTTGATTTTTTTTTAAAGATTTATTTATTTATTTGAAAGGCAGAGTTACACAGAGAGAGATCCTCCATCCACTGGTTCACTCCCCAAGTGGCTGCAATGACTGGGCTGGGCCAGGCCACAGCTAGGAGTCTGGAGCTTCTTCTGGATCTCCCACATGGGTGCAGTGGCCCAAGCACTTGGGCCGTCTTCCACTGCTTTCCCAGGTACATTAGCAGGCAGCTGGATCAGAAGTGGAGCAGCCAGGTCTCCAACTGGCGCCCACATGGTTGTGGGCATCCCATATGGCGTTCTTACCCACTATACCACAGCCAGAGCTGGGCCAAGCCAATGCCAGGAACCTAAAATTCCATCTGGCACTCCCACATGGTTGGCAGGGGCCCAACCACTTGGGCCATCTTCCACTGCCTTCCCAGGAGCATTAGTAGGGAGCTGAATCAGAAGAGCAGCTGGACTCATATGGGATGCAGGTATCAGAGGTAGCAACTTAACCCACTGCATCACAATGCCGGTCCCTCATTGTTTTGATTGTTGTTAGCATATAGACATGCTGTCGATTCTTATATTATTGAATTTATGTCTTGCAACCTTGATAAACTCTTTATTATTAATAGATGCTCTTTTATAGGTTTAATTGATTTTATAGATAGACAAATCAGGTCTCTGAAAATCAGAATAATTTGCCTCTTCCTCTCCAGGGTGTATGTCTTATTCCTTTCTACTCTCTTCTTCTTGCTCTCCTTCCCCCCCCCCCATTGCCTTCCCCTTTCCTTCTGCTTACATCCCTTCATTTCCCATCTCCTCTTGCCTTCTTCCTCCTGCTGCTCCTCCTACAGTTTTATTGCACTGGCAAAAACCTCCAGTACAAAGTGGAAGTGGTAGCAGTAGTCATCCTATCCTTGATTTAAGAGAGCAAGCATCATCTAGTCTTTCACCATTAAGTATGATGTTGACTGTTTTGATTTTTCTACATCTCTGTTTATGAAGAATATCAGGCTCTGTTCTGGGTTTGTTGTTGTTGTTGTTGTTTTTTTTTACAGGCAGAGTGGATAGTGAGAGAGAGACAGAGAGAAAGGTCTTCCTTTTGCCATTGGTTCACCCTCCAATGGCCACCGCGGCCAACACGCTGTGGCCGGCTCAGCGCACTGATCCGAAGGCAGGAGCCAGGTGCTTCTCCTGGTCTCCCATGGGGTGCAGGGCCCAAGCACTTGGGCCATCCTCCACTGCACTCCCTGGCCACAGCAGAGAGCTGGCCTGGAAGAGGGGCAACCGGGACAGAATCCAGCGCCCCAACTGGGACTAGAACCCGGTGTGCCAGCACCACAAGGCAGAGGATTAGCCTATTGAGCCACGGCACCGGCCTTTTTATTTATTTTTTATTTTTTAAATTACTTGCAAGGCATGGTTACAAAGGGAAAAGGAGAGGAAAATAGAGCTCTTCCAACCACTGTTTCACTCCCCAAATGGCTGCAACAGCCAGGGCTTGGCTAGACCAAAGCAAGGAGCCAGGAGCTTCTTCCAGGTCTCCCACGTGGGTGCAGAAGCCCAAGGACCCAGGCCCTCCTTCACTGCTTTCCCAGGCCACAGCAGAGAACTGGACCAGAAGCAGAACAGCCGGTTCTCAAACCAGTGCTCATATGTGATGCCAGTATCACAGGTAGCAGCTTTACCTGCTATGCTACAGCACTGGCCCCTCTATTCAGTTTTGATGTCTAGGTGTAACTTTAGACAACAATTGAGAAGTATTGGTTTTCTCCTAATTAACAGAAAGATTTGTATAGAATTATTTTCTCCTTGTTTGGTAAAATTTACCAGTGAAGCCACCTAAGCCTTCTGTTTTGGCAGAAGGATTTTTAGAAACTATCAGTTTCTTAAAGATAGAAGGTATATGGAGGTTATCTGTTTCTTCTTGAGTGACCTCTTGTATTTTTATCTTTCAAGGAGTTTGGATCAGAAGTGGAGGAACAGGTACTCAAACCCAGGTGCTCCAATATGGGGTACAGGTGTCCTAAGTGATGTCATAACTGCTACACCAAATGCCTGCCCCACTCTCATATCATTTGTACCTTCTCTTTGTCAGTCTAGTAAAGATTTTTTTATGTCATTAGACTTTTTATAGACTAGCTTTTGGATTGATTTCCTCTTCTGCTTTCTGTTCCACTGATTACTTTATTATTTCCTTTCTTCTGCTAACCCAATTCCATTTTCCCTACAAGTTTGTATGATTTAAATCTAACAACATATTTTTTATGATTTGAATCTTTTAAATTTTATCAAGATTTATAGCTTATCCTAGAATATAGTCAACTTAGTGCAACATAGTAATGTACTTGACTAGAAAGTGTATTTTGCTGTTCTTGGCTGGACTGTTCTATAAATGTCTATTAGGTCAGACTGATTAATAATGTTATTAAAATCTTATGTATGCTTATTGATTTTCTGACTATTATTTAGAGAGGACATATTATACTTTTTTATTTCTATCAGTTTTTGCTTCATGTATTTTGATATGATCCTTTTAACACCTGGTAATATTTTTTGCTCTGAAATTTACTTTGATATTCATATGAACGTCCCAGCTTTACTTTGATTAGTGTTATCATAATATGTTTTTTCCATCCTTTTGCTATTAACCTGTTTGTATTTTTATATATAAAGTGGTTTTCTTGTTGGCAACAAAAACAGTAGTAGGCTATTAATTTTTTATCCAGTCTGACAGTCTCTGCCATTTCATTGCCATGTTTACACCTAGGATCAGCAAATAGGTCAAGCCCAGCCCCTGCTTGCTTTTGTAAATAAATGGTTTTTTAAATGTTTATTTATTTGAAAGAGTGACAGAGATCATTTATCCACTGGTTCACTCCCCAAATGGCCACAAGATCCAGGGCTGGGCCAGGCTGAAACCAGGAGCCAGGAACTACTTTCAAGTCTCCCACATGGATGACAGGGGCACAAGCACTTCCCAGGCACAAATACTGGGAGCTGGATCAGAAATGGAGCAGCTAGAACTTGAACTGGCACTCTGATATGGACATAGGCTTTGCAGGCATTGGCTTAACTGCACCATAGCCACCCACTGTACCCTAATACCTGCTGTGGGACATAGCCAACCCCATTCATTTATGTATTATTGTCTTTGATTACTTTCACAGAACAGTGGCAGTTTGTTGATCTATGATTTATCCTATTTAAATTTAATGTGATTATTAATATGCTTAGCTTTAACACTATTATGTTGCTGTTCTTTGTCCTTTTTCCTTTGTTTAAACTTCCTTAAGGATTAGTTGTAGCTTTTTATTTAAAAGATTTATTTATTTATTTGAAAGTCAGAGTTACACAGGGAGAGGAAGGCAGAGAGAGAGAGGTCTTCCATCCGCTGGTTCACTCCCTAATTGGCCGCAACTGCCAGAGCTGCGCCTATCCGAAGCCAGGAGCTTCTTCAGGTCTCCCCTGCAGGTGCAGGGTCCAAGGACGTGAGCCATCTTCCACTGCTTTCCCAGGCCATAGAAGAGAGATGGATCAGAAGAGGAGTAGCTGGGTCTCGAACTGGCGCCCATATGGAATGCCGGCGCTTCAGGCCAGGGCGTTAACCCGCTGTGCCACAGTGCCGGCCAAGTTGTAGCTTTTATAATTCTGTTTGATCTTCTTTGTTGGCTTATTAGCTGTAACATTTTTATTATTGTAGTCTTTGTTCAAGTATTCACACAGAATGATCCTGGAACTCCTTAACTATTTTCTGCTAGAATGTTACTTTTCTGGCTCCTGAGAACTTAAAGCATATATGACATAGCTTTATTCCCCTTATTCTTACGGGATAGGGACTTTCGTCTGCCTTTGTGTAATCAGCCAAAACAGATTTCCTATATATTATGTGAATTGAAAACATTTGTATTTTTAGAAACATTGTACCATCAGATATGTTGTATGATCAGTTCATTAATTTTTTAAACACTTTTTGAAATGGTGATTATTCAGAAGCTCTGATATAAAGATCTGTGTCTTTGTAGGCAACCATCAATATTGTTTTTGATCGAGTTGGGAAAACTGATCCTGTCACAAGAGGCATTGAGATCACTGTGAATTACTTGGGAATCCAATTTGACGTAAGAGTTATATCAAGATCCTGGCTTGTTATGTTTCTTTCTGTTTTATCTGCTATAATTATATGTAATATATAATTGTAATTATATAATTTTTTTATTTTAGCTTTTATCATTTTTAACAGATTCAAATAGTTCATAAATACAATTCTAACAATAAAATGGTATTCTTTTCCTCACTGCCTTTCCCTTCTGTCCTTCCCACCTTTCCTCCTTCCCCATTTCTTTCTTCAATTTTTGAGATAACATTTTTAACATTTTAATTTACATTAATGCTTAATGTTCCACTTAATGTAGAGTTCAACCATTAAAAACCAAAAGACCCTAGTTTATCATAAATATAGGTGTAATAGCATAAATATGGTTTAGTGTAAATATAGGCAAGGACTATAAATAATAATCAAATGGAAAGATGATCATTTCACCCACATATCGCAAATTTCAAATAATCTCAGGTCATTAAAACTATAGTAGTATAACATTCTTAACCATTGGGTTGACAAAGGTATAAAACAAAGTTTGACAAAACTATATTTGTGGGGCTGGCACCATGGCATAGCAGGTTAAGCTGCCACTTGCAGTGTCAGCATCCCATATGGGCACTGGTTTGAGACCCCGCTGCTCCACTCCCAGTCTAGCTCTCTGCTATGGCCTGGAAAAGCAGTAGAAGATGGCTCGTGTCCTTGGGCCCCTGTACCCACATGGGAGACCTGGAAGGAGCTCCTGGCTCCTGGTTTCGGATCGACGCAGCTCTAGCCTTTGTGGCCATTTGGGGAGTAAACCAGCGGATGGAAGACTTTCTCTCTGTCTGTAACTCTACCTCTCAAATAAATAAAAATCTTTTTGAAAAAATTATAAATGCTATATATGACAAACCAAGAACCAATATCATTCTAAAAAGGGAAAAGCTGAAAGCACTTCCCCTCTGTAGACGTTACCACTTTACCAGTTTCTCACCACTAAGTATTCAGATACCTCTCTCTGTCATATTTAGTGAGCTTTTCAAACACATAACTCACCTTTGATTCCCCTGATAGAAACTTACAAATTAGAGCTAAAATAGTTTTAAAATTGGCACTGAAATTATTTCTGGCATAAGAAATTATCTTTTTTCAATTCATTCATATGGACCTTTGGCTAAAGATAGTAACTGTCCACTGTGCACAAGTTGGGTTTGTTTGTTTTTTAAAGATATATTTATTTATTTGAAAAGGCAGAGTTAGAGGCAGAGAGTGAGAGAGAAAGAGTATTCCATCTGCTGGTTCACTCCCCAAAATGGCCACAATGACCAGAACTCTGCCAATCCAAAGCCAGGAGCCTGGAGCTGCTTCTAGGTCTCCCACATGGGTGCAGGGGCCCAAGGACTTGGACCATCTTCCACTGCTTTCCCAGGCCATAGCAGAGAGCGGGACCAGTAGAGCAGCCAGAATTCGAACCGGTACCCATATGGGATGCCAACACTGCATGCGGCAGCTTTACCCACTACACCACAACACCTGCCCCATTGAGTTTATTTTTTAATCATCTACCTATTTCGTAATGCACTGTCATAAACACACCCATGTCCCAATTTAAGTTTAGCGTCTTTATTCATGCAATAGTATATTTTTCAGCTGTGTACATGACCAATAATAATCCTGGCTGATTAGCACTTTGGTATTAAGACCAGTGTCTCTCACTGTTAGTCCTGTGGGCTTTTTTGTTTTTTGGACAGGCAGAGTTAGAAAGGTCTTCCTTTTTTCCGTTGGTTCACCCCCCAAATGGCTGCTACGGCCGGCGCGCTGTGCTGATCTAAAGCCAGGAGCCAGGTGCTTCCTACTGGTCTCCCATACGGGTGTAGGGCCCAAGCACTTGGGCCATCCTCCACTGCCTTCCTAGGCCACAGCAGAGAGCTGGACTGGAAGAGGAGCAACCAGGACTAGAACCAAGCGCCCATATGGGATGCCAGCGCCGCAGGCGGAGGATTAGCCAAGTGAGCCGTGGCGCCGGCCATCCTGTGGGCTCTTTAACTGTGCTGTGACCCTAAACACAAATTCACAACATGCACCTTACCTCAAGGGGGTAATTGAAAAAGAACAAGAGTACATTGAACTCCAGTCCTTTAGAATTAGCTCAGAGTACATAATTTTTTTTGATGATAATCACTAGTGTCTCCTTTTTGCCTGTGAAAGGAACATGGTATCTTTTTTAAGTAGTATATAAATTATATTGTTTTTTGTTTTGTTTTTTTTTTGTTTGTTTGGTTTTTTTTTTGTTTTTGTTTTGTTTGTTTTTTTTGACAGGCAGAGTGGAAAGTGAGAGAGATAGAGACAGAGAAAGGTCTTCCTTTTCCGTTGGTTTACCCCACAATGGCTGCTGCAGCCAGCGCACTGCGCTGATCCAAAGCCAGGAGCCAGGTGCCAGGTGCTTCTCCTGGTCTCCCATGCGGGTGCAGGGCCCAAGGACTTGGGCCATCCTCCACTGCACTCCCGGGCTACAGCAGAGAGCTGGACTAGAAGAGGAGCAACCGGGACAGAATCCGGTGCCCTGACTGGGACTAGAACCCAGGGTGCCAGCGCCGCAGGTGGAGGATTAGCCTATTGAGCTCTGGCACCTACATAAATTATATTGTTATCTCTGCTTTTCTCTTGTTGTATATGTTTTCCTTATTTAAATTTTTTACTGGACTGAATATTTAGAAATGTTTTTCCTTGGCCGGCGCCGCGGCTCACTAGGCTAATCCTCCGCCTTGCGGCGCCGGCACACCGGGTTCTAGTCCCGGTTGGGGCGCCGGATTCTGTCCCGGTTGCCCCTCTTCCAGGCCAGCCCTCTGCTGTGGCCCGGGAGTGCAGTGGAGGATGGCCCAGGTGCTTGGGCCCTGCACCCCATGGGAGACCAGGAAAAGCACCTGGCTCCTGGCTCCTGCCATCGGATCAGCGCGGTGCGCCGGCCGCAGCGCGCCGGCCGTGGCGGCCATTGGAGGGTGAACCAACGGCAAAGGAAGACCTTTCTCTCTGTCTCTCTCTCTCACTGTCCACTCTGCCTGTCAAAAAAAATAAAAATAAAAAAAAAAAATAAATAAAAAAAAAAATGTTTTTCCTTATTAGTTCTCTCCTATGCCACTCACGTGCTGTCTGTATATTCCATCTGTAATTCATCTACATATTCCTCCATGTTTCATCCTTCTGAATAAAAAGATTTTAGACACCAGTAGCAGCAGCTCTCCCTCACTTTTCAGAACTGAATCAAGCACAGGGCCCCAAAATTCTCAGCATCAAGCAATGTAGGAGGAGAAAAAGGTATCATCATGTGTTTCAGATGAAGTTAAGCTATTTTGTAGAACTTAGCTGGGAATGTCTATTATAAAAGTTTTAAGTGATCAGAGAACTATCATTCATAAATATTATAAGTAATCAAGCTACTGTTGAGTTAGTTTCCTTTTAATTTTTATACAGTGAAGCTGCATCATTAGGTCTGAGTATTTTCTGATTTATTAGTGTTGTCATCACTTAACTGTACTTGTCTTCTTTTGCCCTTTAGTTCAAACTGCTAATTAAGATTGAAGTGTTCCTGTAGGTGTTTTATTCACCATTTACTTACTTTCCTCCACCCCTTTAAAAAACAAAAATAGCCAAACAAAAACTAGATAGGTACTCTCATGAAATTGTATTTCACAGTCACATATGTAATTAGAATACATCTTAGGGGCCTGCACTGCGGCACAGGTGTGTTAAACTACCATCTGTGGCCGGCGCCGCGGCTCACTAGGCTAATCCTCCGCCTAGCAGTGCCGGCACACCGGGTACTAGTCCCGGTCAGGGTGCCGGATTCTGTCCCGGTTGCCCATCTTCCAGGCCAGCTCTCTGCTGTGGCCCGGGAGTGCAGTGGAGGATGGCCCAAGTGCTTGGGCCCTGCACCCCATGGGAGACCAGGATAAGCGCCTGGCTCCTGCCTTTGGATCGGCGCAGTGCGCCAGCCGCAGTGCGCTGGCTGCGGCAGCCATTGGAGAGGGATCCAACGGCAAAGGAAGACCTTTCTCTCTGTCTCTCTCTCTCACTGTCCACTCTGCCTGTTTAGAAGAAAAAAAAAAAAAAAAACCTGCCATCTGCAGTGCTGGCATCCCATAGGACACTGGTTCAAGTCCCAGCTGCTCCACTTCCGATCCAGCTCCCTGCTGATGCACATGAGAAAGCAGCAGAAGATGGCCCAAGTGTTTGGCCCCTGCACCCAAATAGGAAATCCAGAAGAAGCTCCTGGCTTCAGCCTGGCTGAGCACCAGCCATTGCAGCCATTTAAGGAGTGAACTTTCGTGGCTGGAATGATTCTCTGTCCCTCCTTCTGTCACTCTGCCTTTCAAATAAATAAATCTTTACCCCCCAAAAAAAAAAACTTTCACACGTCACTCAACAGAGGAGATTTAACAGATTTTTTTCTTTGTTATGAGCACAGGTGAAGTTCTGGTCCCAACACATTTCCTTCATTCTGGTTGGAATAATCATTGTCACATCCATCAGAGGATTGCTGATCACGCTTACCAAGGTATGTTTCTATCAGAACGTTGAAAAGTACTTCTCATTTGTTGAATTACATGTAGCACTATGAGGTCATTTTATCTAATTAGGATTTCTACCTTGTGAAGTTTTAAAGATATTTTTTTTTTGAAAGGCAGAGAGATAAAGAAAAAAAGATATCTTCCACCCACTGGTTCAACAATGGGCAGGGCTGGGCCATGCCAAAGCCAAGAGCTTCTTCTGGGTCTCCTATGTGGATGCAGGGACCTAAGCGTTGGCTCCATCTTCCACTGCTTTCCTGGATGTATTAGCTGGGAGCTGGATTGGAAGTGGATAGCCGGGACTCCATCTGGCACTCATGGGATTCTGATTTCATGAGTGGTGGCTTAACCCGCTGTACCATGACACCAGCCCCCAGAATTTTTCTCTTTTTTTGACAGAGTGGATAGTGAGAGAGAGAGAGAGAAAGGTCTTCCTTTTGCCGTTGGTTCATCCTCCAATGGCCGCTGCGGCCGGTGCACTGCAGCCTGTGCATCACACTGATCCGAAGGCAGGAGCCAGGTGCTTCTCCTGGTCTCCCATGGGGTGCAGGGCCCAAGCACTTGGGCCATCCTCCACTGCACTCCCGGGCCACAGCAGAGAGCTGGACTGGAAGAGGAGCAACCAGGACAGAATCCGGCGTCCTGACTGGGACCAGTACCCAGGGTGCTGGCACCGCAGGCAGAGGATTAGCCTAGTGAGCCGTGGCACCGGCCAAGCCTCCAGAATTTTTAAAAAGTTAAACTACTATGTAAATTAATAATAGTGTATTTGCTAGGCTGGCGCCGTGGCTCAATAGGCTAATCCTCCACCTTGCGGCGCCGGCACACTGGATTCTAGTCCCGGTCAGGGCACCAGATTCTGTCTCGGTTGCCCCTTTTCCAGGCCAGCTCTCTGCTGTGGCCAGGGAGTGCAGTGGAGGATGGCCCAAGTGCTTGGGCCCTGCACCCCATGGGAGACCAGGAGAAGCACCTGGCTCCTGGCTTTGGTTCAGCGCAGTGCGCCGGCCGCAGTGGCCATTGGAGGGTGAACCAACGGTAAAGGAAGACCTCTCTCTCTCACTGTACACTCTGCCTGTCACAAAAAAAAAGTAGTGTATATGCTAATCACAGATAAGAACATTTACCAGAGATAATAGGATAAGTATCTGTTTTGTTCACTTGTATGTCACCAGCATCTAGAATAGAGCCTGGCACATGATATAATGGGAATAAATGAATGAGACAGATATTTGAGATTAGAATAATTATAAAAGCCCAGTTTTAGAGAAATAAGGTCACAGTAGAATATTCAGCTATTTTCTGATTAATGTAGGCAGGCTTCATTGATGTGGAAGAGGTAAAAATCTCAAGATGCAAGAGCTGTTTGAAAGAGAAGAGTTTGAGGCCAGCGCCGCGGCTCACTAGGCTAATCCTCCGCCAGCGGCGCCGGCACACCGGGTTCTTGTCCCGGTTGCTCCTCTTCCAAGCCAGCTCTCAGCTATGGCCTGGGAGTCCAGTAGAGGATGGCCCAAGTGCTTGGGCCCTGCACCCACGTGGGAGACCAGGAGAAGCACCTGGCTTCGGATCAGCTCGATGTACCAGCCACAGCGCACCGGCGGCCATTGGAGGGTGAACCAGTGGCAAAAAGGAAGACCTCTCTCTCTATCCACTCTGTCAAAAAGAGTTTGAGACAAGAAGGGATCTCCAGATATATAGCGTGATTGCAGAAAGAGCTCAGAAATCTAGAAACACCTACAGATGGTTAGAATGGCCTAGAGTTGTGTGTTAATGTTTTACAGGAATGTTAAGATTGTTTCCCATCAGTTTCTGAAATTTGATAGTGAAAGGAATTTTCATGTTACAATGTAATACTTAATTTCCCCAAGAGGAAGTTGGTGGTTTTAACTTTCTCAGTCATCCATCTCTTCTTTGTAACCCTGATCATCTGAGTTCTATACAGGATGTGGCATGCAAGAGACACTTTCAGTTAAAGGTTAACCATGTGACTTATTGCCCATGACACAGGAATCTAGTACTACACGAGTTCATCTCTCTTCCCTTTCTTGACAGTTTTTTTATGCCATCTCCAGCAGTAAATCCTCCAATGTCATTGTCCTGTTGTTAGCACAGATAATGGTAAGTTTAATGCACTAGCTTTGTAAAATGCCCCAAATGTGTTCTAAAGAATTTAACAGTTCCCCTGGACCTGCCCCACACTACGTTCACCGTAACTCCTGTATTAACTTCTTTGACTGCCAGGGCATGTACTTCGTCTCTTCTGTGCTGCTGATCCGGATGAGCATGCCTGTGGAATACCGCACCATAATCACTGAAGTCCTCGGAGAACTGCAGTTCAACTTCTATCACCGCTGGTTTGATGTGATCTTCCTGGTCAGCGCGCTTTCCAGCATACTCTTCCTCTATTTGGCTCACAAACAGGCCCCAGAGAAGCATATGGCACCTTGAACTCAGGCTGTTACTGATAGTGACCAATAGTATCAGAATTTGGATTGAAGAGGGAAAGTGGAGAGGACCAGGACTTAAACAAGATGCTGCGGCAGCATAGGTTTCCTCCAGAGATGATACTGAGATCGGGAGTAGCATCAACTAGGCCTTGAGTAGAAGTAACTCCAGGCAGTCCTCAGCAGACAGCGTTCTGTGTGGATTTTAGCCTCAGGCCAGGTGGGAGTGAAGGTTGGGGGGAAATACACTGGAACTCTGGGGCAAGAGATGTTTGTGGTAACTGGGCCAAATACGTTGGATTTCTGTTTTAAGTCAGTGCTCACATGGAGTAAGTAGGCTGTGGCTTTCCCATTAAAATCAGATTATGACACTTTGGTCCTACATTCATTTTATCAAGTACACATCAGTATTAGTTTGTGTTACCCAAGTTAGCATCCCACATGTATTCCCCTGTCAGAATAAGCAAGAACTCTTTCTGGGAGAGGGATGGTATACAACTGAAGTAGATTCTACAAATGTCACTTTTCTGGATTTCATTTTCTTTGCCACCTCATGCTATGGAGTAAAATAACTTAACTGGAATAAGACTTCTCTATCCTAGAATGCATTTTCTTCATCTAGGTAGATGCTACGAAGTTTTTATAATGTTCAGAAGGATGGTTTAAGAAAATCCTGAATATGGTTCTCTCGAAGGCTCCTCTTCCTACTAAGGTCTTATTCTGTGTGTTATTGTGTTTTTGAAGATTAAAGCACAAAGACATTGATCCAAACAAGAGCTCCCTTTAGGTGATACCAGTCAACAGGGAAGTTTCAAGCGTACTTGGAAGGCATCTTTAATAGTATTTATTCTAGTAACCACAACATTGTTACAAAAGCATAATTTTACTGAACTTATCTGCTTAGATACCTTAATTAGCAGTTCTCACAGATTTACAAATCATCTTTGGTGCTCGGGGAACTCAAAGGTAAGAGATATCATCATACAAAGAAAGGAGGTTAAGTTGAAGCTGGGAAGAGATCACATGAAAAGAATCTGGCTCCTGCCATAATTCTTCCTAAGTTACCCATAAATAAGCCATCTGCAATAGCAGCACCTCAGACAAATGAGAGCAGAAGACAATCCAATGTGATGAGTGGTTCCCAGAGGAGTTCTCTAACAAACAGGTGGCAGCTCGTTCCTTAAAGGATTTTTATTGAATATCCAGAAACAGCTATCAGCCAAAGCCATAATCTGTTCTCATTACAGCTCGGTATCTTCAGAATTGGAAGAAGAATTTGAAGCTGTACTGTGCGCCTGTGCAAAAGAAAATAAAGGATTTATAAGTGTGACTACCTTAAGAGGAATGACCTGAACTGGGCTTTGTTTCCAACTTGCACAGATTTCTTACTGTGGACATAGTAGCACGATACTATAATTGACAGGAATTATAAATCTTGAAAGGCAAGTGTTATATGCTGGAATGCTTAAGATCAGTAGCTGTTGTGTGTGTTCATTAAAATGAGCATTTGTTATATGTAATATATATATATCAGAATATAATGGAAGAATATTGAATTAAACTTTTAAAATCCTGGCTTTGACATAAATGTCCCTTATGAACTTGGATAAGACAGTTCACTTTTGGACCTCAGCTTCATCTATAAGAAGCTGGACAAAAATACCAGTCAGTCTGAGGGGCCAGCATTATGATGCAAGTTAAGTCTGCCTGTGACACTGTCATCCACTAGTGGAGTGTTTGTTAAAGGCCCAACCAACTGCTCTGCTTCCAGTCCAGCTCCCTGGTAGTGTGACTGGGAAAGTAGCAGAAAATGGTCCAAGTATTTAGGCCCCACCACCCATATGAGAGACCCTAATGGAGTTCTAATACCCTAGCTTCAGCCTGGACCAGCCCCAGCCATTGCAGCCATTTGGAAGTGAAGCAACAGAATGAGCGGTATCTTCTGCTTTCCAAATAAAAATCTTTCGAAATATCAAACTGAAGTTTACCAAGGAATTTATATAATCTATATAAAGATTTTATTGATTAGAGAGGTAGAGATCTTCCATCTGCTGGTTCACTCCTCAGATGACCGCAACAGCCAGAGCTGCACTGATCCAAAGCCAGGAGCTTCTGCCTTGTCTCCCACACAGGTGCACGGTCCAAAGGCCTTGGGCCATCTTCTGTCAAATCACTTTGATAGCCTTAATATAATCCTGCTAAAACAACTTATCCCTGTTTTATAGGTGGGAAAGCAGAGAGCAAATAGAGAGTGATAATATGACAGAATTTATAGCTAGATGATCTGATTCAGGTTCTTTTATAATTTGATAAACTTATCAACTCTAGGCAATTGCTGTCGACTGCATGCTATGAAAGTGGGAAATTCATTGTATTTATACTGTCTCTTCTATAATAACTTATCTTTACATAGTCACAAATCTGAAACAGATTTATTAGGGGCTTTGGAAAGTTAGATCACTGAGAGAAATGTGTCACCACTCACTCGTTCTTTTGCCTCGTGCAAGTTGTATTCCAATTCCGCCAACACTCCTTGAGAATCTGGAGGTATAGCCAATGGAAGAGCCATGGAGGAAACAATAGGGATTTTCTTAGCTTGGAAATATTCGTAGGCCTTCTTTCCACAGACTAATAATGTGACATTGTCCCCACTGCTTTGGATTCTGTCCACCACCTTCTCATAGGGTTCATCCAGCACATTCACCCCATTTACTTCGATGATGATATCCTCATCCTCCAACCCAGCCAAGTCAGCAGGGCTGCCCTTCTGTACCTGTGAAGAGATGTGCCAAGTTACCAACGCCTAACATGGAGAAGGGCATGTGAGAGATGAACTTTCCTTCAGATAGACCCATTCAAGAATTTGCTCATAACCATGGAATTACTTCCAAAAAGATGTTCTAATACTTTTCTACCCATGGAAGCCACAACTTCCATACCTGAATAATCAGTGTTACAAACAGTGATTGAATAGCATGTTGTATGTCTTCTAGGCTGGCAGCATTAAGTTTGAGGTCCCCCTTTCACACTGCCAGCCTTTACAGCTGTAGGGATAATCCTCTCCCTGTCAGTGCCTCCAAAGTGGGGGCATTACACCAGATGCACAGAAGCAGCAGGGAGGGTTGACAGTGAATGTCAACTAGTCATGTCAACTCACTCTTTGGGTTAAATGAGTCTAGAGCGACAATGAGGTGGACCAGATGTTTGAGTAGCAAAAGCTCTCACAGTGCACTCCTAGCTAACTTAAGGGGTACGAGATAGCATTTTTCTGACCCAAGTGAAATTTGGGTCTCCAATAAGCTTTTTACTAAGCCATCAATGGGGAGTAGAAAATGAGACTACCCCAATTGTGTCTGTGTTCTTTGTGCTGCTGGAACCAGATTACCATACCTCTTTGACGAATGAGCCTGGCAGGCCCCGGATCGCATTTAAGTGAAAGCCATAGCCATTTTCCCCTTTATCCAGCCTGCAGAGTTTAGGCTTATGATCTTCTACTTCCTCTGTAGGATCTGGACTTGAGACCTCCGGAGGAACAGGGGTAGGAGCTGCAACCTCCGTGACTGAACCATTAGGCAGTTCTTGACTTTGATAGTAGAGAAATGGAGAAAAATGAGCCTTTTGAAAATAAAGGGGGAAAATTGACTTAATTGTAAGTATGAGTAGACTATTAGACATGCTGGCTTAATTTATGAAGGTGTCATACATATTCTACCCATCTTCCAGACAAACCTGATTATGAAACTGCCCACCACCTCAGCCAGGGGAAGGAGAAAAGTTTGAGCTCTGTCGTGGAGTAATACGCACAAAAGAAAAACAGTACAGAATACTGTCCACTGCAAAGAAGTCTGACAGAACTAGCTAGCTTCTTCTGGCTCCCCGACAGTGAACAAGACCCTGAACAACGCACTTGCAACCCCCTTTTGGGAGTGACAGGAGCCCAGGAGCTCCTGCAGAGTAACCCCTTCTGGCCCCTCCTGTTCAGTACTATGGTTTCAGAGCTCCTTACCACAGAGGATGTAAAACATTTATCACTGAAGACTCAAGACAGTAAGTAGAGACCAGCCTATATATAAGGGTAATTCTTAAAGTTCATGGGAAAATGAAATTAAAAATTATTTTGAAAACAAAGTTGAAATTCATGCATCATTTTCTTATAGTACACATTTTCCATGAACTTTCTGAAGACCCCTCATACTCTAATAACTTGGGGAGGGCAGCCATTACCATATGGTCACATCTTAAAAAAAAAAAAAAACACCAACTTACTTCTTGCCATCGCCTCTACCCACTCCAGTCCTGAGATCTGTTGTACTCATTTTACCATGTGTTATAAGCAGTAACTATGTCAAACTCGCCACCATTTTCAAGTGCTTATCCTAACAGAGCTTCCACCTGAAAACTACAATGATCATAATATATAAACAGGACACATAGTTGATTTTTTAAAAATAGAGTGGGGCCAGTACTGTGGTTCTGCAAGCTAAGCTGCTGTCCACAACCCCAGCGGTCTATATTGGAGCCCCAGTTTGAGTCCCAGCTATACTGCTTCTGATCCTCCTCCCTGCTAATGTGCCTGGGAAAGCAGCAGAGGATGGCACAAGTACTTGGGCCCCTGCCACCCATCTGGAAGATATGGATGGTGTTCCAGGCTCCTGGCTTCAGCCTGGACCAGCCCTGGCCATTGTGGTCATTTAGGAAGTAAGAGAAAAAGGAACAATGAAAGGACTTACTTTAAAAAATAGCTTAGAGACTGACACTCTGGCATAGTGGGTAAAGCCTCTGCCTGCTGCACCAGCATCCTGTTTGAGTCCTGGCTATTCCACTTCCAATCCAACTCTCTACTAATGGTCTGGGAGAGCAGAAGATTGCCCAAATCCTTGGGCCCCTGCACCCACATGGAGACCCTGAGGAAGCTCCTGGTTCATAACTTCAGACAAGCCCAGCTCTGGCCAGTGTCCATTTGGAGAGTGAACCAGAGGATGGAAGATGTCTGTTCCTCTCTAACTCTGCCTTCCCAAGAAATACCTAAATCTTTAAAAGAAAATAAAGAGCTTAGCTGGGCCAGCACTGTGGCACAGCGGGTAAAGCTGCTACCTGTAGTGTCGGCATCCCATATGGGCACCAGTTCAAGACCCCGCTGCTCCACTTCTGATCCAGCTCTCTGCTATGGCTTGGGAAAGCAGTAGAAGATGGCCAAACCCTTGGGCCCTTGCACCCACGTAGGAGACCCAGAAGAAGCTCCTGGCTTCAGGTCAGCACAGCTCCAGCCATTGCAGCAGTTCAACTTCCGAGTGAAGCAACTGATAGAAGACCTCTCTCCCTGTCTCTCCTCTGTGTAACTCTCAAGTAAATCTTTTTTTTTTTTTGACAG